CAAGCCTCATGTTAGTTTCAAGCTGCCTGGCTGCCGGCCGCCATCTTGGCTGACAGTTAATTTGCATATCTCGCTGATTAGCCAATGAAAAGGGTAGCGGTCGTATGCCAATTACCATGTTTCTCTTTTATTAGTACCATGTTTCTCTTTTATTAAAATAATAATAATTTTATTATTCTTCACCTTTTTCTTTCCTTGTCAGTATTGTGTGAAGTAGATTTGTTTTTTGGGGGGATGTGACAAAAAATGAGTAGTGTCTTAAGGTTTGTATAGAGAGAAGCCAGACACGGTCCATGGAAGGACAGTGACATGACTGTAGTCAAAGCACTAGGAGAAGCATTTGCAAATGTCCCTGATGAGGGCTAAAACCAAGCAGGACCCGAAAAAGTCACTGTGGTTACACAGGAAGGTCTCTGATAATGTCAATTCTCTTCTAAAAAAATGTTTTGTTGTTGTTTCTCTATTCCTCCATTACTGCTTTCTCTGTATTTTTAAAATTGAGGTGTAATTGACTTACAACATTACAGTCATGTACTACTTATTGGTGGGGATACATTCTGAGCCAGCAGAGTTTTACTACAAACTCAGAAGAATTTATTTTCAAAGTTATTATATTGATTCTAAGTGACAGTGGGTGGTGGCAGCAAAAATAGAAACAAAGTAAAGATTTTCAAAACCGACACTTTAGAATATCTTAGAAGCAAATGCATCAGAAACTGGAAACATCAGTCTCTGGTAAGGGAATGAGAGGGCTGGCGAACAAGGGAGGAAGGAAGACTTGTTTTCCATGGTATATCCTGAAGTACCTTTTGAATTTCATAGCTTTAAGATTTTATGGGCGATGGAGCCCTTGTTGACATAAAGGCAGGAACCAGATGAGCATAACTTCCAGTTTCCTGAAGATCCTTTGCGATGATGCTGAAGCCATCCCTCCAGCCTTTATTGTGACACAGGTAAACCAAACGGCTTTGTTCTCATTTACCACGTGACCACGCTGAATCCAGCTGGCTGTCGGAATCCAGGCTCAGTTGTTTGCTACCCGTGACTCAGCCAGCACTTGTCTTTACAATACATCTTGTCCTGTTGAACCCATTAAGTTGCTTCCTAACAAAACTGGTTCCCAGTCTCTTTTAAAGCTGTGGGTTAGTTGACTAATGTTCTTCAGTTTCCCAGCAATATGAAAGAGATTTTTAGGCTGCGAAGGTCCCCTCTCTTCCTTTACCTTCTGTTGTCCACAGATTTGAAGCTTGAGGGAACAGAATTAAAATTTGAAACTATTCTTTCATTTAGCTATTTGTCTTGAATGATTTTGATATATCTTTGCTTAAAAAATATTGAATTTCTGACTTTTTAGCAACAATGAACTGATTCAAAAAATGTTATTAAATGTCTCTGCCTTTTCCAAGGAGTAAAATGTAACTGTTAGAGATAAAATAATGCACATAAACACTCACCGGGGAGAAGGGAAGAGAGAGATGGCAGTGGTGGTAGGGGAGGGAGGCTGGAAATGGGAGTACATTAGCTGATGTTCTATTTTCCTCAAAATATTTTTAAGAGACAACAAAATACAATTTTAGAGCCTGAAGTATAGGTAGTACCATATATCAGTGCTATAAATATTTAAATAATCCTATCTAATAAAGAGGGAATATGCTAATTGACCCTCATGCCATCACAAAGATGGCAGCACCCACAGCCAATGAGGGGGGAATATGCTAATTGACTGCCCCACCCTCAAAGATGGCAGCACCCATAGTCACAAGATGGCGGTGCCCAGTCCCCTCAGCCCCACCGGGGCAGGCTGGCCCGAGGCACAAGCAAACCTTGGATGGCGGCTGCCCAGCCACCCAGGGTCACCTGACGTGCGCTGACCACCAGGGGGCATGCGTGGACATGGTAGGCATTGGCAGCAGGTTGCAGAGCACAGAACATGGCGGGCATCAGCCGTGGCAGGATGGTGGAGCAGGTGAGTGGGGGCACCAGACCAAAGCGGGGCACCAGTCCCTGTCATCAGGACAAGCCTCTGGTGGTTACTGAAAATTCTTTGCTCCCATGCACCACGGTCCCGCCTGGCGCTCAGTCCCGCCTGGCGCTCACACCCACTGCCAGCGCCAGGCGCCAACCCTGATCACCCCTCAGGGCTTCTCCACCTTCCCTGCTCCTGAGGGGTGATCGGGGATGGCAGCCATCACTCCCACCCCTGCTGGCGCCGGCCCCAATCGCTTTGTGCTGTCAGCAGGTGCAAGCGGGTCTGGTGCCTTCAACGCATGGGAGCAACGGTGGTGGGAGCAGGGCTACTGGCAGACAGGACCAGGGGCCACAGTGGGAGGGGTCAGGCAGAGGCACAGAGGATGGGCCGAGACCTGCCCCTGTGCTGACCACAGCTTCAAGGCCCACAGTTGCTTTCAAGGTGCACAAATTCGTGCACTGGTCCCCTAGTATATTATTAGAGAGAGAGAGAGAGAGATCTAGACATATAAATAGTAAAAAATGTGATAATTTTTTACTATTAGTTTTCTGTGCTTTGTTAACTGAACTTGAAATACATTGAGTGTTTTCTTTCTCCTGAAAGTATTGTCTTTGAGTTTTTCCCAAATTTTGCACCATAAACCTACACATGGCAACTTTGGTTTTATATTTAAAACCAAGCATGATTTTTAACCAAAGTAAATATACTCAAATGCACAAGATGCAAAAATGACAGAAATAAAAAAACTCAAACCCTGGAGAGGTCATTCCATTATTCTGTCTGTTGGAAGCTAATTATTTGCTTTATGGACTGGACCGAACCTTTGTTCCATCTCACTCCAAACACCGTTGCACTTCTGCCATCGAACTTCTAATTTTCTTCTCTCCCTAAGGATCTAGGAGATATGAAAGAAAGAAGCAATATTTCAGCTCTTGACCTTGCCAGGGGCAGTAGACTATATAGCATATTCAATGCCTTGGTCTGCTACCTCCACTGCCAGGGACATTGCCTGCTGGCTCCAACCTCAAAACTCTCTAGAAATTGTTGTCATCTGATGAGAGCCACTTCACCGAAGACATGTCCTCAGAATGTCATGCTCCCTTCCGGGGCATAGTTCTCATCCAATAAGTGGTAAATGTGAGGTTATAAAAGTCTGGCCTCTTGCCTTAAAGTGGGATAATTTTGAAGGAACCCCCAGCTCCAGACTTTTTTGTGGAACAGCTGAGGCCTCTGGTATCACTGCATCAAAGATCAACTTTTCCCACTGCCCTCACACCCTTAAGGTGTTGTCCCTGGGAGGACTCCTCAATAAAATTTTCTCAAGTCTGCCTCTGAGGAAAATCCTAAGGAGTATGGGTTGATTTTTCCCCCCACCAGAAGTGAATTGGTTTACAGTGATAAGTCTGTACTCTTCTCACCATTTCCCTTTAACTTCCCAGTGGTTTTTGTTCCTTTAACTTCCTGTGGCAGCATGTTGCAGCAGGAAAACGAAAGCTGGATTATTTCTTGCCTTTTATAGCTACCCAAAAGAACATTCTGGACCTTTTCTGTGAGTTTAGGGGAGAAGATGGAGTCTTTGAAATTAAAAAAGGCTAGCTGACCTTGATGGACATCAAACTCATGACCTTGTCATTATTTTGCTATGCTCTGCCCAACTGAGCTAATAATAGTTTCATATAGAAAACTTAAAAATGAGATTTAAAGACTATTTCTATAAATCTTGCTATTCCTGTTAATGACAATTATCAAATAATCTACAAATTATATTTTTGAGAGATTTTACATTTCTCAATAGATTCTGGTTGAAGATGGCAGATTGATTATATGAATGAATGTATCTATACTCCTGCCTAAGACCACCTCTTAACCCTCCAAAAATGAAGAGAATGGGAGAAGAAAGAACAGCAGATAAGAAATTTCAACAAGCTTTTGAAAACCTGAAATCAGACGAAGTAGTAACTGATTCTGCAGAATAAACCTGGGAAAAATACACAGTGTGTGGCCTCCAGTCAACTCTCTGGTTCCTGTCCAATCATTCTAAACTTGAGGAATAGAACAAAGGGACACAGAGATAACATAGGAAGAAAACTCTTTTTAAAACTCTAAAGCCCTAACCGGTTTGGTTCAGTGGATAGAGCGTCGGCCTGCGGGCTGAAGGGTCCCGGGTTCGATTCCGGTCAAGGGCATGTACCTTGGTTGCAGGCACATCCCCAGTGAGGGGTGTGCAGGAGGCAGCTGATCGATGTTTCTCTCTCATCAATGTTTCTGGCTCTCTATCCTTCTCCCTTCCTCTCTGTAAAAAGTCAATAAAATATATTTTTAAAAAAACAAACAAAAAAACAACTCTAAAGCTTTCAGGCTCACTTTCCCTCTCAGGAGCACACCAAAGGCACCTTTCCCTTCTCCTTTGGCCTTCCCCCAGGCTCCATACCTTTGTCTTTCTCTCTCCTAAACTCCAAGGGCTCTGCTTTTGCTTCTGAACTTGTTTCCTGAGCCCATGCAGCCCAGCTGGCTCACCTCTACAACAAAAAACAAAAATAAACTCTAAAACTTTCAAGAGATGAGATTATATGACACCATTAAAAACAAAACAGGCCCCAGCTGGTGTTGCTCAGTGGTTGAGCACTGACCTATGATCCAGGAGGTCAGGCTTGATTCCGGGTCAGGGCACATGCCCAGGTTACAGGCTCAATCGGAAGCAGCCAATCAATGATTCTCTCTCATCATTTGATGTTTCTTTCTTTCTTTTAAATTAAATCTTTATTGTTGAGATTATTACAGTTGTTTATCTTTTTTCCCCCATAGTGCCCCTCAACCCGGTTCCCACCCCACCCTCTGCCCTTACCCTCCCTGCTGTCCTCATCCATAGGTGTACGATTTTCATTTGATGTTTCTGTATCTCTCTCTCCCTCTTCCTTCTTCTCTGAAATCAATTAAAATATATTGTTTTCAAAAAAAGAGGAGCCAAGGTGATAATTGAGTTAAGTGATGGGTACATAGGGCCTTTATTATATCCTTCTGTCTACTTTTGTCTATATTTGAAAATTTCTACACGAAAAAGCTAGAATAAAGGTAAGCTCCCAATAAAAGAAAAGGTGTTAAATCCATTTTCCTGAGCAAAGAAAGCATTTGTTGGTATAGATCCTCTATTGTTCCCTAAGCCAACTTAGAAAAATAAAGAGTCCATTTTCTTGTAAATATTTTCCATTATAAAGTCGAGTTTTGTTTTTATGATAAAGAGCAGCCTACCTGAAAATAATGAAGACTTATACACCTCAAGGAGAGACCCTCATGAAAATCTAAGCAGGAAGCAAATTGTTGATGAGTCACCCCATAGCACACTTTTAATAACTAGGACTGTTTTGTTGCCTAAGCACTTTTTTTGGGAGAGACAATGAGATTGAGGGTGTAGTTATTAATAGGTTTGAACACTTCCTTCTTTTTTTCTGGGGGTGTTTATTGCAAAACCCAAGTGTTGTTGGTGGAAACCTAGATAAGTCATTATTTGGATAATATTCTCTTACTGAAATTCCATTGGTGGTTTTAGTTAAACAAAATACAATGTTGCCTTTCCTGCTCTAAACTATTTGACTGGGTTGTTTATACATGAAGTTGTGCCAAGCCTACTCTCACACAAAGGCTGTGTTTTGCTGGTCTTTCGGAGTGATTCATCTACTATATACACATAAAAATTATAGTTCATAAGGTTGTTGTAAGAATTAATTAGTGTTTGCTGTGTACTTCTGATCCTCAGATAAAAGGCACTAAGGAAATGCAGTGTATCTACATAATATAATAACATCCGTACACAGTATAAAAGAATATTAGGATCTTTTTGAATGAAAGGTCCAGTAGTAACTTCAAGTTATATTTATTAGTAGAAGAATCAAACACTATTTGGAAGAACAGAATGAAACTCAAGAGATTTTTCAGGTGAACATGTAACTAACAAAAGAAGGAAATAGTCTGTTGTAGACTAAGGATATATAGCCTTTTGGATACCTAAATATCAAAAGGAAGAGAGAGAGAGAGAGAGAGAGAGAGAGAAAGTGTTCAAAGGAGATAGCCTAAAAACAAGAATGAAGATCCTTGATTCTTGACATACTTTTCCCATTGAGATAAACAATTATAAACTCACCAAGAAGAGCTTATCACAAAAACTTGATCTTATGTTACTCCTTATTAGTTTTACATGTGGTTGGAGGAAGACAGTTCAAAGGAAGAGAAGGGAGGGAAGGGGGAAAAACTGAGTAAACATCAGTGGACAGAGGAGAAACCTAAGAATTATTTTGAACCCATCCTTCTATTTCACTGCTCTTGAAAATGAAGACCTAATAATATTTCCTCCTAAATACCAGTTCCTCCTATTCATTCTCACCTACTTCACCTCTGATGGATACCTCAGCATCTCAGATCTGGATTCCTGCAGTCAGTTGCCACCTGGCTGGCCTTCCTAACCATTCTCACCCTGTATAGCAAACTCATCCTACCTAAACGATCTTCCTGCTGCGAAGGCCTGTTATCATCAGGCCCCCACTCTGCCTGTCCTGCAGGACCTTGATTCAGTCATGTTGTTCTCCTTGGGAGTGATCCTCTCCTTCATAATCTTTAAACCACCGGGATGTACTATCCTTCCCCTCGATCAGTATCAACTTAGCCCACTCATGAAGTTTCTGATCAACTTTAAAGCCTTTCCCGACTACGCCAGCTCACAGTAATCTTTCTCTTTTCTGGCCTTTTTAGTATCTGACCACCTAGTTTGTACCACGGACTTCCATGTTTGTCACTCTTTTTTAAAAAATATATTTTATTGATCTTTTACAGAGAGGAAGGGAGAGAGACAGAGAGTCAGAAACATCGATGAGAGAGAAACATCGATCCCAGTGGGGGATGTGCCTGCAACCCAGGTACATGCCCTTGACCGGAATCGAACCTGGGACCCTTCAGTCCGCAGGCCGACGCTCTATCCACTGAGCCAAACCGGTTCCGGCATGTTTGTCACTCTTACCTACATGAGGAGGCTGTAACCTCCTTGAGGGCAAGGACTGCTCTGGATACACATTTTGCATGTCAGAGTGAAGCACTTCCTAGGAGCACAGGAAATGTTCCCCTCATTGTCTGTGCTCTGCTGTTGTCTCTCTTTTAAACCAGGAGGGTGGGGTCCTGTGAGGCTCACTGGCTTTGGAATCAGAGCTGAATGAGACTTCTACCTCTGCCACTTATATTCCACCTCTGTTGCATGAATGTGGGTAAGATTTTTATTTTCTAACATATAGATAGCCACCAAGGCAAATACCAGACATGTCCATCCAGCCCCTGACCCATGGAAACAGCCACCAGATCTGGAGAGAACCATCAGGTTGTGTCCTCTGGCATAACAGGAGAAGAATGTTTCATCGGCCACATCCAGAACCTAAATGAAACTGACCCGCCAAGTCTTTGACTTCCCTTGCCACAATTCTATCCTCACTAATGAACTTCCTAGTTTTCCAGGATCCCTGGTCTTACTTCATCTGAGGAAACTTAGGCATAGAAGGATTGGCTGCTTGCTCTAGGTGACTTTATAAATAAGAGAGTCATGCTTCAAACTGAGGCAGCCGAGCTCTAAAGTCTATTCTCTTGAACATGGCACTTTATGGCTCCTCTGGTGCAGCCAAAATCAGGGTAGAACAGGCAGGGCTGTGTAACAGTCTGGGGGAATGAGTCGGGAATGTGGCTTAGGAGCTCTGCACTGGCAGGCCCTCTTTGGCAAAAGACTTGTTTCGCCACTGTTCCTCAGCTTTTTTTTTTTTTTTTTATTAAATGTATTGGGGTGACATTGATTAATAGGATCATACAGGTTTCAAGGAGCTTTTTTTTATAAACTGGATTTTCTCAATTATTTAAAGATAAGGAGTCCTGGCTATTGTGGCTCAGTTGGTTGGAGCATCGGCCCATACACTGAAGGGTCATGGGCTTGATTCCCAATCTCAGGGCACATACCTGTTTTTTAGGTTCAATCCCCAGTGGGGGTGTATATGGGGGACAACAGATCGTTGTTTCTCTCTCACACCATTGTTTCTCTCTCACACCAATGTTTCTCTCTCTCTCTCTCTCTCTCTCTCTCTCTCTCTCTCTGTCTGTCTCTCTCACCCCTAACCCCCTCTCTTTCTCTCCTTGGGTGAGGATTGAAAAAAAAAAAGATAAGGAGTATCTTAAAGACGGTTCACACTGACCAAACTCATAAGACACACATACACAGCCATAATGTCATGCAATCTATTTATAAGTCCTCAATAAATAATTATCATGTGAAAGGCAAGTTCCAGGTAGGACTATGATAAAATAGTTTAGCTGCAACCTGCTAACTCATTTCGGTAAAGTATGAGGAATAATTTAAAGAACTTACTGAAAATTTGTGCATACTGCTACTTCCCCATTTTTGTCAGTTTCTTTTGACCACATATTTGTTTCCCATAGCAATTGACAGTAATTCCTTAAAAACAAAAGGGCCCTGGACTTTTTCCTGAGGTCACTGAAGTTGGTCGTTTTCTCAGCCTTGTAAGGAGAAACACAGACGGGGTGGTGGCACCTGTGAAGAAGAGAGGACGACAGGGACTAGCCCATAAACCCAAGAGAAGAAATGTCTCCAGAGACATTACTGGATCTCAAGAAATGCTCCAGCAGCTCTGGCTGGTTTGGCTCAATGGTTGGAGCGTCAGCCTGAGGACCGAAAGGTCCGGGTTGGATTCCCAGTCAAGGGCATGTACCTGGGTTGCAGGCCCTATCCCAGCCCGGGTGGCGGTGTGTACAGGAGGCAACCTATCGATGTGTCTCTCTTACATCAATGTTTCTCTCTCTGCCTTCCTTTCCTCCCTTCCACTCTCTCTAAAAATCAATGGACCCTAACTGAGTTGGCTCAATGGATAGAGTGTTGGCTTGCAGACTAAAGGGTCCCAGATTCGATTCCAATCAAAGCAGCCAATCAATGATTCTCTGTCATCATTGATGTTTCTATCTCTCTCTCCCTCTCCCTGCCTCTCTGAAATCAATAAAAATATATTAAACAAATAAAATAAAAACATAAAAATCAATAGAAAAAATATCCTAGGGTGAGGATTATTTTAAAAAACAAACAAACAAAAAAAAATGCTCCATCTCCTTTTGAACCAGAGCTTCTGACTTAATTAAAGGTTGGCTTGATGCTTGCTCTCAGATGTACAGGGAGACTGTCTTCAATCCTTCAGTGGGTAAAGCTGTTTGTAACACAAGTAAGCTCTTAGTTAATACCCAAGGAGATGCAAGGTGTGCTTTTTCATGGATATTCTCCTAGGAGATTGAAATACATTGTTATCTAATATATTCCTTGGATGATTTTGAACACTGATGGAATTCTTTAAAAATTCACTCCAACCTTCACCAAACATTTCTGAGTTTTCAACATTTTATGAAAGTTAAAAACCAAATTGATCTTTTGGTTTTATTCCAAATTT